AGCACAAAAGTCAGCAAAATTTTTCACATGTAATATGGCCTATAACATTTTGGAACATTTTCACATATGCAAGCTGTATCTTGAATGGTAGGTATTTCATTTTTGACTGCAAGTGAGGATGTCGCACATTTTGATTTGTTGTTGGCCTACAATGCACAACCGTGAACTGCTTCATCACCTCCAAAACATTATGCACGTGGTGTGATACGGTTTCACCCGAATGTTGAAACCGTTCTTGGATGGCTCTATTCTTAAACCCTCTTAACACATGTATAAACATTGCTACGCTTTCTTCCACGGCTAATCCATGGCTACGTTGGTTAACACATAAACCAAAATCTCTAACTAACGTGTCACACAATAAGGAAAATACATGTTTTGGTATACAGACATTTTCTTCAAAACGACCAATGTGTCCGTCATATAATTCACATATCCATGTACCTCCAGTCAATATTGATGTTCGGCATGGTGTTTTTAACATGTAGTTTGCGTAATATTGTTGTATGTACCGACATGCTTGCACGTACGTCCAGTTATTTTGTTCTTATCTGAATTGCCATTTGGTTAATTTGCTCGACAAAGTCAGCGTTGCTGCTACCTTCCCCGTTAGACATGGCCACTACTTCAATGAGGCCTACAAGACATATGCCCAACGTTAACTAACATTGACACCAAAATACATGAACATCAGACCATGCATAAAGTATTGAAAAAGCAAGCTAGCAAGTACTTCACATGCATAAATCAGCCATTCAATCCAAACTAACACAACCTTAACGAAAAACATAATAAATACCTAACAACTTGGTCGTATTGTTCCACCAAACACACAAACATCCAACTTAAGCAAACCAAACAAACCCAAATAAAAAAAGTTAAAAAAAAACAAGGAAAATACTTATGCCCTAAATATCTGACACTGTAACAAGTTCACCTTAACACGCTAACACATAACACCGAAAGAACCCATCACTTCCTAGAAGTCGCCCAACCCTATGGCGTATCCCAGTATCCATCAAACTTTCCGTGAACCAAAAAGGTTCGCAAATGGAGCGGCAGTGCTGCTTTGTAGTTGCTTCTGCGTAAACCACCCGATTATATTGTCATCATCGGGATGGCACATCATAACCTCGCGATAATTAGCGTTGTCCATAAGAGATGATGCAAAGTGGAACAACGGTGTACCCACCAAGGCAGAAATGGATTTCAACCTATTCTGAAATGGTGTACAACGACTCATTCCCAGTTAAGTGCCTCACAGAAACTTCTTGGTTTTTAGTATGGACAACATTGCTCAGATTGTTAACGCTGTCACTATGGTAGATGCTCCACTAGTCGGCTTCCTCGACTTTCCTGAACTTGCGGGAGTATTCTTTTTCCTTTTTGCGCCGGGGTCAACCGTAGGTTTAACAGCTTCCATTGGCGACTCAACATCCACGTCAATACCAACAGAAGGGATTGGATTTGCGAAAGGCCCACACCAAGGCTTTGAACCGAATCAGAAGATCCTTCGTTATCTTCGACAGTCCTCTTCCTCGGTGTCCAATGATGTCTGCCTGTTGCAGCAGCGCTTGTGAAGACAATCTCCATCAACTCCCGGTGCTCCAAAGTCTTAGTCCTAAACTTTGCACAACTCTTGTTTATCTGCAGCAAAGGAAACACAAACCATTACTGACAATATGTTACAAAAAAAAAAAAAAATTAAAGCAATGTACAAAGGTAACAACATAGTGTAAATAATTTACCAGTTCCATACGATCCCACCATTCATCAGAAGCCTGAAACATGCCTGTTTCAGCGCCAAAGCCAATTTCGGTTATGCCTTTCGTACGGTCCATCGACTTCATCCATGCAGTCCATTCTCGTTTGAGGCATGCGTACTTTTTCTTTAGCTGCTTGACATCATGTTTTTTACCAGTTTTTTTTTCAAACTTCTTGGCCAAAGACTTATACCCAGCGCTGCTCAAAACCATGAATGGTCAGTTGCCCTCAACAATCTCATCGGCAATAAGCTGTAGGAAAAGCTGTGTGGATTCATAATCCTACACAACTTTGTGAACATTTTGGCTGTCGGCAAGAACGTTAGCTCGGGCACTTCCAACCCCTTTATTCTTGGCAACGGTACGTGGTGAAGTTCGTGTTGAATCCATAATGACAATGCAACTGATAAATTAAAGTGTAAGTAGCTTATATATGTATGCGAATCACTCACCCAAACGAGTTGGCGCAAAAAGTTATAAAAAGTAACAATTTTCACATTAACTTACACATAAAATTAAGATTACCAACAAATAATTTTGTAGATCGAAACCACCATTCCATTACACGTAATTGACAACGACTAGTACGTATTATGTCCACAATAAAGCATAAGTCCTTACAATATTAGCTTTGTTAAGGTGTTCCAAGACACATTTCACATTTTTACATACGCAACAATAAGATTACAACAACAATGCACAGCACAGAAACAATGGTTTTCAAGATACGCAGCGTTTGTTGCATGTGAATGACCTCATCCCGCAACAACATGACAATGTCGTGCGTGGCGAAGTCAGACTCTGCGTTCAGTCGCCTAGGTTCGTCGCACCAACCAATCCAACTTAAACATGGCTGACGAAAGGTACGTACAAAGCTATTAGTAAACTAGTTTGATTTGAAATGACAATATTTTACAAAAAATTTGGGTGTACTCACCACAGGATTTGGACATGCATAGTAAGCCCGTCTTGGATTTTTGTGAGATCTGGAAATCTTGACAACACATTGACCGTAGCCACAGCCACATGTACGATGTGGCCATGGTGTAGATGTGCCACTTGACATGAATGAAGCCATGCTTTGTTTTTGTAACATAGATGAATAGTAGACAAACATAAGGTGTAGGAAAAGCTATATGGTTACATTTTCGTCAATAAGTTGTGTGCTTGTCGTATATGATATGTGTGCTAATGAGATGGTTACGTCCTACAACAGTTGTTAGCATACACCCTGCTGCACTTAACTACATAATTGGTTTACCAGTACTGTTTATGGCATAAATACAATAACACATACCGACCAATGCATATACACACATACACCTATAGGATTGCATAGACATAAGCAACATTCTCCAATGGACCGAAGCCAAGAGAATTGAAAAATTTAGCTCACTGTTTTTCGTTTAACAGTTAGGAAAGTGTTACTCATCCAACATAATTGAAAGGAGTAAAATTAACACAGTATAATTACAAAAAGAAAAGCAGCATTATCAGCTACGGCACATGTTCAGTTAGTTAGTTGGCCATTTAATTATGATTACATTGAAGACCAGGCAGAAACACATATAGAAAGTAATAGATAGATCAGACGAAGGCACAACTATTGGGTGGTGAAAGAACAAACAATAAGAAATAGTCATAGATCACAAAGAAACCAACAATTGCGAATAGATTTGAAAGAGAAGTTTAGCAAAAAAGAAAAAAAAAATAACAAGCGCAAATGCTGTGCTCTGTGTAGTCTGTATTTCAGAAAATGCTTCTCCAACCAAAATCTGGATACAACCAACTACTGGACAGTATGTCCACTGGGTTAAGAAAAACAAAATGAAAGCATTCCTAATAGATGTTCAACAAAATATGGTTCACATTCGTAATTTAGAAAATGGTAATAGGCGCACCAACTAACAGGTAAATATATTGCTCTGTTCAGTTCAAGAAATTATATGTCTAACATTCCAATTGCTCTGTCAATCAAACCAACCAGCAAAACCATTTGTAGTGTGAGTTCAAAAAATTTGTGTTCAACAAGTGACAACAAACATACAAGAACAAAAAATTTAAAAAAATCATAATAAAAGAGAAAGGAAAAAAAATATTTTCCAAAAAAATTTGGACCACTTTGACGTCCACTAACTTTGAAAAAAAAAATTCAGAACACCGAACAAAACCGAAAAAAAAATTTAACGAAAATTAAAAAAGAAAAAACCGAACAAAAAATTAAAACAAAAAAAAAACCAAATGAACACTACCATCCTTTATCTGCTTCAGTTTATCGACAACAGATCAAAAGACATGAACATCGACTTCGGTTTTAAACCACCATTGACAGCAAAATACATGTTTTACCAGTGATCCAAGTTCAGAACGACAGGTTTTCAACATACACAACAGAAATAAGTGACATCTCGTGGAAGGAGACGAAAACCCCAAAATAGAGCGAGTTATGCGTGCCAGAAATGCAACGACGGCACAAATTTACGCGTGAAGGATGGTGGAGGCGTTGACGAAGCATTGTAGGCTTGGATCGGTCGTCGGATGCTGTGTCACTGTCTCCCCCTCTCTCGTTCTTCGTCGCCGTGAAGTTGAAGTGTGTTTCATCAAGAAACCCTACCAAAATACATGTCAAACAGTGACCAATTGAACATGGGGTATTTTCGTCATTGTCCCTTCCTACACGTGCTTCCCACCATACGCGTCCATTCCGTTTGTCTGTTTGTGATTTTGTAGTCAAAATTTGTCGTGTTGTGCTTATATAGCCCCAAAACGATTGTCAAATCGGGGCTTAATGCGATACTTTTCAATAGCTTAGGAGATTTATTTATATACTTTTATAATTTAGAAAACAAAATAATACATTTTAATAGTTTAAAAGTATAATTTAAAAGACAAAAACAATTTTTTTTCAATAGTTTAAGAAATTTTGTGTAAATAATCATATTTCACAAAATTTTTTTTTTTTTTTCTTATCAATATCAATCAAGTATAGTGGCTTGCTTTGGCAAGCTACCAAAAACAACTAACTTCTGATTTTTTTACCCAAAAAAATTAATTTTTTTAACCAAGTCATTACTTAAAATTTTTTTTAGGCCTAGTTTGGAAAGACTAAATAAGTGTATTTTTTGACTTTTTTTATATTATGTGTAGAAAAAATAGAGAGGAGATGTTGATTGATATGACTTAAAAAAAATAAAAAGATGAAATAAGTGCACTTTTTTCTTTGTAGCTAAACTTGGACTTAGTTTAAAAAGTCAAAATCCCAACTTTTTACCGACTTGTTTGTTGCCCTATCCGAGCTCTTCACGGCGCTCTAAATCCCAGCAGCAGCAGCAGCTTCACCAAAAAAGCTCCGCCAAAACCCTAGAACAATCGTCATGGTATAACTAACAAATCATAACTCTTTAATGTTCGTTTTGTGTTCTCTGTTTTTGTGCTTTTAATTTGAGAAAGCAAAGCACTTTGTTTATTTGTTGTTATTAGGCCCCGAAGAAGGAAAAGGCTCCGCCGTCGTCGAAGCCCGCGAAATCTGGCGGAGGAAAGCAGAAAAAGAAGGTAAGAATCATGGGTTTGTTAGGGTTAGGGTTTGTGAAGTTCTATTTGTGTTAAATTTGAGAGCTTGATTTGTTACTTCATTGCTGATTGTTAAGGTTTTAGTTGTGGATGTTGTTGGGTTTTTCATTATGTGTCAGATTGCGTTTAATAATACATTGCTGAAATAGAATCAATTGTTGTAAGAAATTTGGTTCTTTGGAATCATTTGATTGATTTCTGATTTTAAGGTTTTTTCTTTTGGGTTTTCTGGGTATTATTCTTAGCAAATCTGAGAAACTTGGTACCTAGTTTGTGATGTGATGTGATGAATCAATGGTAAGGGTTTGCTTGATGTACCTATTGGGAGTATGAAATGACTACTAATTGAAGTAAACTTTTTGTATTATTTAGGGCTTCATGGCATTGAATTGGGTGTTTATGGTTGTCAAACTCATTGTTGATTCAGACTCTCTTTATGATGGCTGTGTTCAGTTTACATAATGATTAGGGTTTGTTTACCTATTTTTTAATATTCATAATCAATTGTCTTTTTATGAGAAATTCGTTGTCTGAATTAGTTTATGTATGCTATATATTGTGAATTTGTGATCAATTATCTAATATTCATAATCAATTATCTTTTACATGTGGTTGTTGGTCGTGATTATTGTTTTTGCTGAAGTTCTATACGGCTTTATTTGCATTTTACATTTACTCTGCATCAAGTAGTGAAATTCCTGGAATTACTATGATACTATGCCTTTTATATAACAATTATTATGCGCTTCACAAATCATTGAAATGCTGGTTGTCTTTATGGGTTTACCGAGTTCAATAGCTTAGCAATCTCTTAGTATTCTAATTCTAATTTAACTGATTTTTGTACAGAAATGGAGTAAAGGCAAGCAAAAGGAGAAGGTAAACAACATGGTCCTTTTTGACAAGGCAACATATGATAAGCTTCTTTCAGAAGCTTCAAAGTACAAGCTTGTCACTCCATCGATCCTGTCTGACAGATTGAGGGTATGCTTGAATTCTTCCTTCTTTATCTGTGGTTGTAAATTGTAGTGTTTCTAGACCATTATAATTGGAGTGCACCGTTAGATGCAAAGATTGTTTGCGCACTGGATTTATATGTCTAAGTCAATAGTGAGTTTTTATTGATAATTTTTCTTCGCCCCACTTTCAGATTAATGGATCCCTAGCACGCAAGGCAATCAAGGATTTGATGGCAAGAGGATCCATTAGGATGGTGTCTGCTCATGCAAGCCAGCAGATCTACACTAGGGCCACTAATACTCAGTAGACAGGATTTTCTCACTTTCCCTAGTATCAAAGGAAACCTATGATTATTTTTTCTTAATTTTTGTTTGGCAATTAAACCTCGTTGGATTTCTACATTTTTGACTTCATCAACTGAAATGCTATGCTTCCTTTATGAATCTATAAGTATTTGCTTTATCTGCTTTGCTGATTTCAATGTGTGGAGCTGATTTCGATGTGTGGCTATTTTTTTGTATTGTCTTTGGTTGTGTATTTGGATGGATCTATAGGCGCTGCCAATGTGTCATCAATTTGAAACAAATCTAGAAGTTGAGAATGGCTTGACAACTAGATGAATTGTTGTCACCACCAGCATCCTCTACCCAAACCCCTCAACTGCCACCAGCAATGCCCTTCTCTTCCTCTCTCAACCCCTCCAACTCCACCCCTCGCTGCCACCACCCACCAACACCCTCTTCCCCAACCCCGCCATTCCCACTCCCCACTCCTATTGCAACCATCATCCCTCTCCCCGAACCCCTCTGCCACGTCAATTAACAAATAATCAAACACTTCAATTAAAAAAAATTCAAATATAAAATTCAAGGTAGAAAGTTAATAGTAGGATTTGGACAGAAATTTTAGGTTGAGAAAACCGTTTGGGAAGAGCTAAACCAGGTTTTTTTTGGCTATTTTAGTCACAAAGAATAAAATAGGTTATTTTAGCCACAAAAATAAAACATCACATCTAATCTATAATCATTACACTCTTTTCTTACAAAAAAAGTTAAAAAAGCCAAAAAGCTCTTCTTATGCCAAGCTTTTTAGCCCAGGTTAAAATAATTAAAAAAGTCAAAAAGTTAAAAAGTCAACTCACTTCCCAAACGACACGTTTGACAATTTTAAAATTATGCCTATGTATATATATGAATAGGTGATAATCAGTGTGTTTGGTTTGAGTTTTCTGAATTAAGTTTTTTGAAAAATGATTTTTTTGATTTTCGTGTTTTTTTGTTTTTAGTGAATATTTTTAAATTTTAAACATTTTTTTTACTTTTTTAGATGCATCTTACTTAGATGTATCTAAAAAGTAAAAAATTTATAAATACATAAAAATATAAAAAATATATTGAATTCTTATATTTTTTTTGTATTTTTGGTATTTAGTGAATTTTTAAAAGATTTTTTTTACAATTTTTTTACTTTTTAGGTGTATTTATGTTAGGTGTGTTTAAAAAGTAAAAAAATTGCTTATAATATTAAAAAAATTCAATAAAAATAAAAAAAATACGAAAAATAAAAAAATAAAATTTTTTGAAAAATGTTGTTTGAAAAATGGAAATGTTTTCGGATATAGTTTTCCAAAGAGAAGCAGAGGAAAGGACTTACCAATGATGATGGAGAATGAATTGGTGACAGGTGGTGGTTGCTACAAACATGTGGACAGGGGGTGAAGGTTTGGAATTGGGATCCTCCCCTTCATTTCGGTCTTTCATTTCCTCCTTGCAGGGCCTTCAGGCCCACTTTGAGGCCCAATTTTGATAAACCGAATCGTTCATATTTTTAGATTTATTCAGTATATCATACCTATAAAAAATCAAGTTGATCGAATATCATAAAGTATGTGTTCGGAAAACTGTTTATTAAAAAATAGTTTGTAGTCCCAATTTTCTGAACGCATACTTTCTGATATCCGATCAACTTGATTTTTTACAGGTATAATATACTGAATAAATCTAAAAATATAAACGGTTCGGATTATCAAAACTGGGCCTCAAAGTGGACCCGAAAGCCCCTGCAAGGAGGGAATGAAGGAAGGGCTCAAGGAGAGGATCTGGACTCGAAGGTTTGTGGAGGCAAGAGTAACTTGTCAGATTTTTGCATTAGTTATGTTGGATATACGAGTAATATTACAAATTCATTCTTATTTTTTGAATTTATTTAGAATTATTGTTTTATATTTTAAATTCATTTTATACATAGATATCACACCACACAAATTCAATAATAATCACGTAATTTTATTTGAGATAAATTCAAAATAGATAAGTGTGAGTATATAGAATTATTCTGGATATATAAGGTTCCATTAAATTCAAGTCATTTATTAACAAGTTAATATAAGGTTTTATTAACTTGTTAATTAGTAAATTTAGATTTAAATTTTTGAATCATGTTGGTAGATTCACAAATTATTTGGACAAGTAAATGGTTGAGTATTACAAAATGATATTAGAGTTGACTTATGCACCAAATCATGTGAGTCACAAATTTAACTCCTCTCACATCAAGAGTTTGTGTAGGTAATTTTAACAACTTAAATTTAAACTTTTGAATTATATAATAGACCCATATCTTACTTGATTGAGAGGTTTGGATGAAAGTTAAAATTCACTAATGATGCTTTATACACCCAACTTCACCTCTACAAACTTTTGATATGGGACACGTCTCATTACAATGAGAGTTGTTGAAAATAAAGAAAGGGATAAAATGTAGATTGGAAAAAACAAAATGACGCCAAGATCTATTTGTGACTATCTTTTCCATATTCTGCAATTATGTCAGTGATTTTTTTTGCCAAAAAAAAAAAAAAAACCTTCAACCATTTGATGGTGACGTATGTTAAAAAGTGTATTTTTTTATCTTATCTGAGTTATACCATTTTTATTTTTTATTTTTTTACATATCCTTTAATAAAATATTAAAAAGTATATTTATTTTTTCCATTCTAAACAATTTTTAAGATTTCATCGGCTAGTAAGAAATCGTAAATGAATTTGGTGGGATACCTTTGTCTTTTAAAAACTCAACTATGTAGTCTCCCTATTGCAATATGGGAATTTTTTTTTTTTAATTAGTTAGTTATATTGCTACAATAATATAATATGAGATTTTCATTAATTGATAATATTATCGGCTAGTATTATCTTATATTCAACATTTACTTGTATTAACCAATCGGGTTAACTTGTTGGCTAAAATTCGTAGATTTTAGAAACGCCAATTTTTTTTAAAGACTTAGGTGGCAAATTGACAAATGTCAATTTAACATGGAAGCTCTTTACTTAATATGTCAAATCTATTATTCTATTATTTTTAAAATTTAAATTCTTTTATTTTACTAATTAAAATAAATTTATTTTTAAAAGAGGTTTGATGCCATTTAAATTGTATTTTATTTTTTTAAAAATTCTATATTTATAAAATAATTTTTTAACAAAATTCAAAATTTCTATTCATTGCTACTTAAACATATTTTTTTAATTTGGTGAAAAAAGAAATATTACAATACATATTTAAAAAAAAATTGACAATACATAAATATCATTATAAATCACATGCTATGATTGCCCCTGAAAATGCTATATTGTGAATGATTAAAAAAATATTTTGCTCAACTCCAAATTTATAGGTGATAAAATAAAAAATAATTAAAAAATATTTTATTTACAACCGTAATTGCCATACATGACAACATAGGTTGGTTTTCAAATAATATTAACTGTTGGTAAAAAAACCCTTCATGACGTGGGTAACCACAAATTGTGTATTGTTGGTTTTCTTTTATTTGAAAAAAAAAAAAAAATTTTGAATGAAGTGGGGAACATGTCAAAATTGATATGAAGGGGTGATGTCAAAGCCATGTCAGCTTTTGACATATCGGGTTAAGTTTATTCTTGCAACTTGTGGGTGTAGATTTCCGACCATACAACCAGAAGGGGAACTCAGCTTGAGATTGACATATCGGGTTAAGTTTATTCTTGCAACTTGTGGGTGTAGATTTCCGACCATACAACCAGAAGGGGAACTCAGCTTGAGAGCACAGGCAAAATAGATTAAGCCCAACAACCTGTAACAATAAGATGAGAATTCGGCGGTGGTTCGTCCACCTGGGGACACTCTGACGATCAAGTCAGTAAACAATATCTCTTACATATAGCAAATAGTGCTTAAACTCACAAGAAAGAACTCACCTCAGACTCACGAGGGTGCCTTGCTTTTATAACCAGTAGTGACCTGGTCCCTTTAGAAGCCTCACTTTAGTGGACTCAGGCTCAATGCTTATCCTGGACTTTCAACTAGATAGGGATAAACTCTCCTTGAGCCTTATCCTTATCTAGACTGAGATCCGCCCCTGTTCTAGGACTCTTGTCCCTTATCTGCTTATCTCGGATTCTGGTATCTCCATAGATAACCTTGACCTGGCTGAGATCATCTCGGCAGGTATGACCAGGCCACGTGGCACATCGGCTGACACTTTGGCATCACCTTAGCCACATGCTGTCATTCACAAAATACTTCTCCACAACTGCCCCCTAGGTTTTATTACCTCGGCAACCTGAGGTGATGGAACCTACACCGTTTGTCCATATAACACGTCAGCTGAAAATTCATTCATCTCTCTGACCGAGATCATGACTCGTCGGCTTCAAGTAACTAGGACTTAGTGCCCATTTTTATCAAGGATCAAGAACCAAGAATCAAGTTCTTTCAAGCATCTTGATCGTAATCGTTCCTCTAGCCGAGGTTGTTATCTTATTTTCTTAAGAATTTCAAGAGTTCCAACTGCGCATGAGCTGTCACGTACAGTCTTTTCAACCGTTTCCTCTATGTGTCCATCTCCTACTAGTTCGTACCAGCAACACGCCATTAAAACATGTTGAGTCTACTTACGCCGCTTGACAGGCATGTTGCCCAAGGTGCATTCATTACATTTTACCGCCTTTTCAGTTTTTAACAAAACTCACTCTCTCCGTCTTCTCACTTTGCAAATTTGATTTCCCTCATTGTCTCAGATTTTCCCTCAATTGTTTGTGTTTTCGAGCTTTCTGCAACCACTTCATTTACCACCTTCGGCAAAACATTCACTGCCTCGCTTCACTTGTCGTTGTCGTCTGGCTCTGGCAAACCGCATCCCGCGCTCACTTCTTCGGCTTAATTTGGTAAGTCTTTGATTTATTCTCTTTCATTCTTGTTCTTTACTATTCTTCAGTATATTTCTCCTCTGGATGTGCCATATGCTCTTTATGCTGCATTTGCCTCCTGTGCTTGTATTATTGTAGCATTTGTATTTGTATCTGTACATTTTGAATTTTCATCATTCATGAATGCATCGTTAACCCACTGTTTATAGATAAATGTTTATGCTCATCCCTTTGTTTTGATTGTTTCGTGTGCTTGATCCCATCTGCATTCGTCATGTTTCAAATTTGTTTCACAATTCTCCCCTTGTGCCCACTCTCTCTCTTGCATTTTGAATTTTATTATTGCACTGACTGTGCCCGTTTCTCTCATGTGTTCTTGTTTCGCCTTAGATCGATTCTAAGTCTCACTTTATTTGTTTTCGTTGCCTATTTTTTCAAATCTTTGCCTCTGATTCCTGTTCATTCTGCATAGATTTGTAGGTTTGGGATTTGACTTAGAAATCTTTACAATTTAGGAAAATTGAAACAAAATCCTCCCATTGATCTTCAAAACCCTCACCCTAGTGCTCTCTAGGGTTTAGCCGAGGTCTTTAGACCCATATCAACCACTTTTCTTTGAAATCCAGTACTGATTACCTCAAGTCGACATTATGGGTATGTTTAGGTGGAGGGTAGACACCCTGACCAAACTAGAATACTTTTGCCAGGAGTTCTCCATTCCAATTGACGTTCAAATCAGGTTGGTTGGGAATGAGGACTCTATCATGCCTGATAAGGACTCTATGCCATTTTCCATAGTCACATTTATTGAGTGTGGACTTCGGTTTTCCTTAGACATTTTTTTTTGAGAAGTCCTTCATTATTACACACTTAACGCCATGCAACTAGCCGTCAACTCATTTAGGGTTATCAATGGCATAATCGAACTGGCACACCAAGAAAACACTAGGATTACTCTAGCCGACATCCAATTCTGTTACACTATGTGTGGCCTTAAGTCGGCCAGTGGCTAAACCTACTATCTCAAGCCTAGATCCACCGCCTACAAACTTATAGCCGACCTTCCTGACTCCAACAAAGGTGCTAGAGATGATTACTTGATTTTCTCGGGCAATTGAGAATTTGTGCCTGATGACGATCTTCATCTCTTTCCTCTGCGTCGAGCGGTGTTTAAAGAGGATGATGGTAAGAACTGAGTACAAGTGTAATTTTTATGTTTCTGTTAAGACTTGTCAATTTATTTCTTTTGTCTGTGCTAATGTTTGCTATTTGCTCTTGCAGTTCTTTCTCAGCCAGTGAAGGGATTTCGGCAGTCCCACGTCCCAAGACGAGATCTAAAGAAGCTCTTGGATCTCCCGATTCAAAGACGCAAGGCCCCCTCCTACTGAATTATATTCCAACAAACTAGTTACCGCTCCCCGGCACTCTACGAAGAAGCCAAACTCCACCATCTGTCTTTACTCCTCTAGTCACTTTTTCATCAAGGACTGACCAGGCTTCCACATTAGATCTAGCACACTTGCCATTTGAACCCTGACTGATTCCTCCATCTTGATGCCAACGCCGACGCCGAGCTTCTCCGAACACTTCTGCCGGCAAAACTCGCAGTAAAAAACGCAGAGGTCCTGAGGATCGGCTTATGACCCAGCAAATCCTTCCATTGCTCTTCTTGTCATCAATTTTGACACAAGAGTTATAGTTGCTGCGACAACTGAAGAAATGGGTCGTAAACCTACTGTGGCCGAAGACCTATTCGCCGGCCTACTAGATGTGGTGACTCTTCAGTCCTCGTCTCAATCCTAGCCAAAGCCCAAACATAAAAGGGTAAAAAAAGTTAAGGCAAAAGCTACAGTGACTCAAGTTTCTTCTGATTCTGAGAAGGACCTTGAGGACTCCGTGCCAATATCAAAACTGGCCGAATCCGAGAAGAGGCCAGCCGAGGTCGCAATATCTGATGCTTCATCACCGAAGAAGCTGAGGTCTGATTGCCCAAAGGGTGGCAGTAGCTTCCCCTGGGATTAGACTTGGGCCCCTGAAGTCATGGTCAATGACCGACCTCTGACAGTTAGCGACCGTACAATCGAAAGCATAGAGGTCGGCGTCGCTCTGTTTACGGTCGTGCTCCTTTCGGCTGACATGAACCATATGGCTGATCTCCATGAGTATGAAAACTTTGTGCTTATGATGCAGCACTCCGTCTTGGTAAGTTCCCTACTATATCCTTTTTAGTTTTCCAACACTTAGCCAAATTTTGCTAATCTGTTCTGTTTCTTACAGGCCATCTAGCATGCACACTCATATCCGGTTAAGACCGAGATGATGAAGAAGTAGTTGGTGAAGAAGACTCAAGAAACTGCCAAACTCCTATCTTCACTCAACCAGATCGAGACCAGCAATTGAAGTTTGCTGGATAAGGCTAAGGCTGCCAAGGCCGTTCAACACAAAGCCCACGCTAAAACCGAAGTTGCTGAGGCTACTGCTGAAGCTGCCAAGGTCGCTGTTGCGGCAGCCGAGGTCAGAGCAGCAGAGGTTGAGGCAAAGCTAAATGAGGCCATTGAATCGAAGGAGGCTGAGATCAAAGCGACCGATAAGAAGGCCTTTGAAAAGGAGCAGGCCGCCATTTGTGATCAATACAGAGAGCAAGTCAACCTAGCCTGCAACAAAGGCTACTATTTGGGCTGGGTAGTTGTTCTCAACAAGTTGGCTATTCTTGCTGATTCTCCACTTCGGGATATTAATTAACTGCAAGTCCCCTTCCCCTCTTCTCCTGACACTTCAGAGGCCGAGGCTGAAGAGGAAGACGAAACCGAAGCCGAGGTTGCTGTAGGGTCCAAGTCCCCAACTCTTAACGATCAGGTCCTGGACTTGACTAGAGAGGAGGAAGATGAGGTCCCCAAAGACACCTTTGCTCATAAGGTTTCTATTGAGGCCAAGATCCAATCTGCCAAGAGGAGTCTTGACCAGATCCTACTACAGATTGAGGCCGATATTGAGGCCGACAAATCTGCCCAGTTGACTGTTGAGGCTGAAACAACCCCAATTGCGGAGGCAGGTCAGTCTGGGAAAACATTGGAGACCTGTGTACTTAGGATTTTCTTTCTTTCATATGTTTTTAGTTTTGAATAGTTGTAACTTTTTTGTCGTTGAAAAATGTTTGGTTTTGTCGAGCCAAAGTTCCATCTTTTTGTAATTGAACAAGTTTCCTTTTCTAAATGCATGCCTTCTTTTTTTGCTTTTTTCTTCTAAGTGTTAAGTGCATGCTTTACTGCTTTGCTCTTATGCCTTGCATTTTTTCCCATACTTAGATTTTTTTTCTGATCCTCTTAAGTCTGGCAACTTGGCTCCTTTTCTCGGGTTCACAAACCTTGGATGTATTTACACCTCAGAGTTGAACACGCTAATCACCTCGGATAACAACCTTGACTATTTACCTCGGCTAATCAACACTTACAAATATTTTAAAATATTTTTACAAGTGTTGCTTCTTCATTGTACATGTTGTCTTTTGGCAAGATTTCATCCTTCCAAATCTAGCATCCTTGGCTGGGTATCTCCGACACTGACATTTCAGATATGATACAGTACTCTTATCTCGAAGTAAGTCATCTCGAATAGTTTCAATGGTCTCGGATAACTTCAATTTGCAAAATTTTTCTAAAATTTTCACAAGTGTTATGCCCATTCTTACTACTTGCCCCTAATGTGAACCTAAGTACCAGTTATATTCACATTAGTGGCCACCAAGGTTTTTGACCTCGTTGTCTTTTGCAATTTGTCCATATCAAACTTAGTTCAACTTTGCCGTCATGGTAACTCTAAGTTATTTGTCATGTTTCATTCGGAAATATCGCTAACTTAGTTCAACTCTATCATATGACAAGTTTTAATTCAACTCTACCATATGGCAAGTCTAAGTTATTCGTCATGTTTCATATCAAAGCATTACAAACTTAGTTCAACTCTACCATATGGCAAGTTTTAATTCAACTCTATCATATGGTAAGTCTAAGTTATTAGTCATGCTCACTATGGGAATATCATTATAAGTCTGTTCAATCTTATCGCACAAGTTTTGATAATAATTCATAAAAAAAAAAATCGAGCTAGTATTTTATTAAAACCTCAACTAATAAAATCATTATATAAATCTCAAAAAATTAGTGGTAAAAAAACTTCAAATTGCTTGTGTTCCAGGATCTTGGCAACTCTTTGCCATCAGTGATTTCCAGCCGATATGCGTCATTGTTGGCGATCGAGATGATCCGGTACGGTCCCTCCCAGTTTGGGCCAAGCTTGCCCTCCTTGGGATCCTTCTTGTTGCCGACAACTTTTTTAAGGACGAGGTCCCCAACCTTGAATTCCCTTGGGTTGACCTTCTTGTTGTAAGCCCTAGCATGCTGTTGTTGGTATGCCCCCAGCCGAATTGCTGTCCTTTCTCTTCTTTTTTCTATCAAGTCAAGATCTTGACTTGATAGAAATACAAATAAAAAACAGTCACTCACTAGTCAACACTAGACGGTTAAGTGATTTACTACGTAGTGAAATACAATAATTGAATGACAATGATTCTGAAGAGAGACTGAAATAGGAAACAACGTGTATCCAATGCACTATAGTGATGGCAAAGTGGAATTCCAGTCAAACTGGTCCCAATCAAACAGATCATCATCGGCAGCATCTAGCTGTTGTATTACTGGAGCAGCAGCCAAAGTGGAATCCCAAATAAACTGGTCCCAATCAAAGTGACCATTATCATCAGCTTGAGCTAGCTCTTATTGTAAAACTGTTGCAGTAGGTTGCTCTTCTTGTTGTATAACTGGAGTAGTTGCCAAAGTGGAATCCCAAACAAACTAATCCCAATCAAAGTGGCCATTATCATCAGCTTCAGCTAGCTCTTGTTGTATGAATGCTGTAGTGGGTTGCTTTTCTGGTTGTATAACTGGAGTAGCTGTCAAAGTGGAATCCCAAACAAATTGGTCCCAATCAAAGTGGTCATCATCATCAGTTGGAGCTAGCTCTTGTTGTATAACTGCTGCAGTAGGTTCTTCTTGTTCGATGAAGTAATGGTCAATGTCGGAATCATCAACTGGTTGCTCTTGTTGTTCGATTTCTACCCTGCGACGCTTCCTTTTGATCACACATAGGACATAATTTTTGTCCTGCAACCATAAATACAAGGGTTTAGTAATTATTTGTAAGATACAAAAATATGTAAATGACTTCTGAAAAAAAAAACTTTGAAATTTAACATGAAAGGTTAAAACTAGCAAAGACAAATGTCATCACAAATGTAAATTACCTCAATTTTAGGCATGAAATAAAAATAAGTACAAGAAAGATAACCAAATACTTGATTAAGAAGTTTAGATAGTGTTTCATGGTAACTCTAAGTACAAATAAAATCTTGCATTAAATCATGCTCAAAACCATTTTTTTTTTTAAAAAAAAAAATTTTTAACTAGAAAGATGGGATGGATATGAGTTTTGTAAATAAGGGACCGAAAAACAGAGGAGGTGAAAAAAATAAAAGGGTTTAGGAGCTGTAGAGTTGGGCTCTAAATTGCTGCCAAGAAACAGAAACCATGTCTTGTTTATTCCTCAAATTTTCAAGATTTATGCTGTTCGGGAAGATGACTAAATTTCAAAGTTGCTAAAGTTGTCTTTTAAGTCTTTTATGGTAAAAGTTACAAAGTTTTGAAACCATGCAAGTGTTGTATTCGTATATTATTCTTTTAGATTTTGTTTCGATCATAAATTTGAGTAAAGATTAAAAAAATAAAAATAAATAAATAAAATGTTGGTGAAACCCTTTTTGATTGAGTTTAATAATTAAAATAAACTTTTTCTGATAATTTTACTTAACGAAAATAGACAAATAATTTAAATTAAAAATAAATCAAAGATTATGATTTAAATTTTTAAAAAAATTAAAAACTAAGCATTCATTTTGTTACAAAACTCAATTTTTTTTTAAAGCATTTATGCGTGTGTGATAGACACCCATAACCCCTAAAAAATTTCATTAGAAAACAACAATAAAAACATAAATCATCTAAAGATGTGTGAATGATCTGTCTCTATGAGACATCATGAGACCATAGTTCTGAAAACCAGCCGATACACTACGCATCGGCCGGTTCATATCGGAAAAATAGAGCACCGCGACGGATGCAAGCCTTTATAGCGTTGAGATCGAAAATCGCAAGAGAATCGGCCGAGTCCCGATATGTAGCGGTCTGTAACCGTTACACAAGCCGTGACGGGTCGATACTCATCGGTTCGAACTGGTACAGGGAACAAAAAATTGAAAAACCTATGAACTAAGCGTTCATTTTGTTACAAAACTCAATTTTTTTTTTAAAGCATTTATGTGTGTGTGATAGACACCCATAACCCCTAAAAAATCTCATTAGAAAACAACAATAAAAACATAAATCATCTAAAGATGTGTGAATGATCTGTCTCTATGAGACATCATGAGACCATAGTTCTAAAAACCAGCCGATACACTACGCATCGGCCGGTTCATATTGGAAAAATAGAGCACCGCGACGGATGCAAGCCTTTATAGCGTTGAGATCGAAAATCGCAAGAGAATCGGCCGAGTCCCGATATGTAGCGGTCTGTAACCGTTACACAAGCCGTGACGGGTCGATACTCATCGGTTCGAACTGGTACAGGGAACAAAAAATTGAAAAACCTATGAAATGATTTTTAAAATTTCACTGCCGCAAGACCTAATTCCCAATACGTACCGACCGATACTCCGCGATCAATACTGTTACATTACCTGATACCACGATTTAGAACCATGCATGAGACCTATATATCATGATCTGCACTATATCTTTGTTCTGTCATGTGATAAGTTGTGTTTGTGAGTTTGATCTTGAAACTAACACATATGGATGATGATCAAACCTCTTTCATTGAACAAAACAACAACAACATGTGACAAATAAAATCAGAAAACAATAATTAATCAGAAGCATAGAACTAGAGAGAAAGAACTCACTTTGATCTGTTGATCATCTTCCAAAGAAACACCTTCAGACTGTACTCCTTCACGTCCCACACACTACGTTCACTCGATTCTCTGTTGATATAATCAAAACTTCACTTGCGTCCAGTAAGCCTTCATTCATTGTCATGAATAGGCTTGCCTCTGTCGAGTCCCTTCCATGTACCCTTCCCCACCATGTGATCAATCCTTTTTCCTTTTCCATTCTTCTTCTTCAACTCCGTAAAATAATAGTACAACTTCGATTTGGTTCTCATTTTGCTGAATATCTTCAACAATTCTTGATCGTCGTAGAGATTGCATTCATTCACTAAACCCTCTACCGGTAATGGCTGTCCTTTGGCCTTTGCTCTCAAATAATGAAGAATAAGTTCTTTGTCCGTTGGTATAAATTTGTATCCTATTGTAATATTGGCTGCCATTGCTGATTTTTCTTGAGAAATAAAATAGTCGAAAAAAGTAAAAGAAAGACTAAAGATTTTTTTTTTCTTGGGAAATACTAAGAATTTGAGAGATATTAGATTATGGAAACAATATGAGAAAGTAAAGTGAGAAGAGAGTAATATATAGGGCCTTGAGACTCAGCCGACTATGTTTTTGAAGTTGGGTTATGTTTTGTTTTAGATGAATTTCTTTCTTCAGTAATAAGTTTGCTTGCATTACAAGTAAGTTAATAATAATTTGTATTTTGTAAACTAGGTTAATCAAACTCTATTTTCTGTTGGTAAATAAATGTAAGGTTGATTTTATTATTAAGTAGTAATTAACCTTGATTGATTACTTAGAATGCTATGTTATACATGCATGCACTTTGTTTTCTATTTTAGTTTTCAATGAGAATCATGCCATCCCATTGTTTCACAAACTCGTAGTAAATCACGTGACTGTCCAATCTTATCCAGCCAACTGTTTTTTATATTTTTACTAATAATGATATCACAATCAATGAGATTTGGTCAAAATTCTCTCATAATAAAATTCTAATGCATTAAGAATAGCTATAAAAAGTCTTTCTTGAAAAGTCTAACATATACCGCTATCACCAAAGTATACTTAGTGAGTAATTTAATATTTTAAATTTTAAAATAATATAATTTTTGATCTAAATGTCGATTTTTTAAAATATTAGTATTTTTAAAATTCTCTCATTACAATCTATCAAATAAGATCCATGTTGACTATGAAATTCTTCAAAAACAATAATAAAAATATATATCATTGAAATTGATGTAAACAGTAAAATGTTACTCTGTCTTACTCTAATTCACAGTAAAATTTTACTGTTACAAAAAATAGAGTACATACTAGATAAACTAACCAAAAATACACATACACAATATTTTTAAACTTATATAAAATAAAATAAAAATGGTCCTCGTCAAAAGAGTTCTGTGATATATATATATATATATATATATATATATATATATATATATGTATGGGCAATATTGTCTAAGAAAAAAAAATTACTTTGTCCGTACTCAATTATGCATCTCCTCCATAGGGGGTTTATGAAGTAAAACAGATTGAATTATCATTTTCACCAAACAAAGATCCAATTGAGGGGTTTTGACTAAAATTAATAGTAAGGGGACTTACGTGTAGGTTCTAATGGTGAGCTTATAGTTCAAGAGGTCCTATGATAATTAATAACATTTTTCATCAAACAATATTAAACAAGTCACTAATCGTTAATTTTTAATAACAGTTTAAAAATTGTGTCACAAAAAATGTCACTAATTAGTAGTTTTTTGCGACGGTTTACAAAAAAAGTCACTGATTTTCAACTTTCAATGACAGGTTGAAAAATTCGTCACAAAAACGTCATTAATTATAAATTTTAGCGATAATTTATAAAAATCGTGATAAAAAAAAGTTACTAATTGTCAATTTTTAGCTACATATGTAAAAAATCGTCACAAAAAATTATTTTTAGCAACGATATGACTTATTTTTAATAGGACATGATATGAATCAAATCTAACTATTATAGCCTATTGATAATTTATCTTTAATAATAATCATTATGCCTATCTAAGAAAAAAAAATCATTATGAAAATCAAACACAACACAATTAATACAAATAAACTTCCAAACTTAAGGAATAAGAAACATGTACACTAAAAAAAAATAAATTAGTCCCCAAAAATCAATATTTACTCGCCGAAACACTGCCCAATATTTTTTTTGTCTTCTATTGTGACATATTTGGTGACTAAATAGTTTTTTAGCCGTCAGTAATTAATATACCTTGATTAAAAAAATTTAGTAGCTAAATCCTGAACAACGCCGACCAATTTAATTTTTTGTCGCTATTGTACAACTTTTGGCTAAATTTCTTTTAATCGCCAATTTTGGTCGCCAAAAGTGTAAATTATTGTAGTGTGAGAAGATTCGAATCATGAACCTCCTAATGAGATGGAAGAGCATCTCCACTCAATATGTCAATTTCAACATGGTAGTCTAATAGTTCTATTTTGGCTGTGTGGGAAAGTATTTTGTGAATGACAACACGTGGCTAAGGTGACGCCAAAGTGTCAGCCGAGGTGCCACGTGGCCTGGTCATGCTTGCCAAGATGATCTTGGCTAGGTTGAGGTTATCTGCGGAGATACCGAAATCCGAGATAAGTAAATAAGGGACAAGAGTCCTAGAATAGGGAAGATCTCAATCTAGATAAGGATAAGGTCAAGGAGAGTTTATCCCTATCTAGCTGAAAGTCCAGAATAAGCATTGAGCTTGAGTCCACTGAAGTAAGGCTTCTAAAGAGACCAGGTCACTGCTGGTTATAAAAGTAAGGCATCCTCATGGGTCTGAGGTGAGTTCTTTCTTGTGAGTTTTAGCATTATTTGCTACTTGTGAGAAATATTGTTTACTGACTTAATCGTCGAAGTGCCCCTAGGTGGACGAATCACCGCCGAATTCTTATCTTCTTGTTACAAGTTGTTGGGCTTAATCTATTCTTCCGGTACTCTCCAGCTGAGTTCCCCTTTTGGTTGTGTGGTCAGAAATCTACATCCACAATTTGGCGCCATCTGTGGGAACTGAAGAAGAATAGATGGCCAACAACGGGCAGGAAGAAAAGATTGAAAACAACATCCACAGTAAGTGCGAGGAGCATATGGATCCTAATGTTAGGGAGGAAAACCGTAATGAAGGATTATAGGAACCGAATCCTAGAATGGATGACGCCAGCAAAGGGTGCAATGCCACGAAGAAAAAAGGCTGGGATAAATACTATAATGAAAGTGACCTTCAGGTATGGAAGGATAAATGCCTAAGGAGGGATAGGGAGATGAAAGAAATGGCAAAAAAGTTGGCCAACCTTCAGTCAGTGGTCAACTTTATGATGCAGAACAACGTGATGCAACCACCATTCCCATTGCAAGACACACCAGCACTAGCCACCAAGACTGATGCTTAGAAAACAGGACAAAAGGCAGTCCTAGTTGTCCCGCAACATGGCAAGGAACAAGGTAACTCACGTTGGCCATCGAAGGACGTCAGACATACCGAATCAGTGTGAGGTGAGTCGCAGAGGACACCACAGACAAAGGGGACCTATGTCCAAAGATCTCAGCAGATCCAAGGGCAAGGCCTCTGCTTTGATGTAGTGGATGAAGGGAAGTCCATGAGGACACACAACTTCACCAGGAGTAGCGTGCCGAAGAGACTGAAGTCTAACGATAGCCAAGCTCCCAATAGGATGAAGGAGGATTTAAGAGACTACCTGCAGAAAAAGAAACTCAACGCCGAGATCACGTCCCCAGTCAAGCCAAGGACACTCTTCTCGATGGAGTTGGATGTATTTGAGGCCCCAAAGAGATTCCACATGCCGAGGTTTTAGATTTACGACGTTAAGTCCGATCCAAACTTTTCATGTCGGCTTATATTTAAATTCAATGGCTTTGTGGAGTGGGAATGAACCGTTGTTGTGCAAGGTATTCCCCTCATCCTTTGGAGAGATAGCATCTGATTGGTTCCATAAGCTACCAAAAAGAACTGTGAAGAGTTAGGAAGGTCTGGCCGAGATGTTTGTGGCTAGGTCTGTTACGAACAAATTGTAGCCGCTAAGGGTAAATTCCTTGCTGGCTTTGAACATCAGCGATGGTGAAAGCCTCAGGGCTTATGCCAAGAGATATTATGAGGTGTTCAACTGAATTTCGGCTTGTAACTAGGAGCTGGCGATCGTATCTTTCAAGAACGACCTGGATAATAAATGCCCCATTCGGAAATCACTTGCAAAAACCCTACCAAAGAGTATGGAGGAGCTCATGGCACAGATTGAAAAGTATGCTAGAGTAGAGGAAGATACACAAGGAATGAAGACACCAAAGCAAGAAAAGAGAAACGGCTCGCCGAAGCAAGACTGAGGTAACTCCAGTGTTAACAGGTAGGAGACAGAGTTAAAGGCTGCACGGGCAGTCACCATTATATTCAGGATCTTGATCTACAAAGTTCTGGAAAGGATCAGGAACCAGCCATATTATAGAGCGCCAGAGAAGATCCCTAGTGAGTTTATGAGAATGAGCATTGGGAAGCAATGTGCTTACCATTATGAGGATAGGCACTTGACTCAGGGGTGCAAGGCTCTGAAGACGCACTTGGGGGATTTGGTCAGACAGGGTCACCTGAGAGACCTAATAGATGAGGCCAGGACAAGGGAAGAGCATGCAAGGCTTCCCCAGGCACCAGTAGAACCACCTCCACCACCACCACGTCAGCAAGCAAATGGACCTCGGGTAATCAATGTGATTCACTCAAAGGTCAATGAGAATGAAGTATGAGGGGAGACCCAAGGAGTAAGGCACCTACAACATGTATATCTGATCCAGTAAGAAGCCCATGACAAATGAATACCAGGGACCAATGGTTTCTTTTACTGAGGCAGGCCTGGATATGGTGCAACATCCACACAATGATTCCCTGGTAGTAACTTTGAGGATTGGAGAATGCCAGGTAAGGCGCATACTGATCGACCAAGACAGCTCTTGTGACATCATGTATGTCAGATGTTACAAGGAGCTTGGCCTTCACCCAGATGATCTAGAGCATTTTGATAGCCCTATGTTCGGATTCAATGGGACGTCGTCATGGCCCTTGGAAACCACGAACCTGGAAGCCCAGGCAGGAAACAAAAAGGTAACAACTGAGTTCACTATGATAGACACTCCCTCCCCGTACAATATCATTTTGAGACAACCTTGGTTGCATGCAATGAGGGTTGTGCCCTCCATGCTACACATACTATTACAATTCCCAACCAATCAAGGGATTAAAGAAGTAAGGGAAGAGCAAATACAGGCAAAGAATTGCTCCATAGCAGCAATAAAGTACACTTGCAATCTAAGGGAGGCAGAAAGTACAGAAATTGAAAGTGAAGACCATGAGGTCTTGGATGATGTCGGCAAAAAACCTGCCGA